AATCTGGGGGTGCCGAACCACAGCGGGCCAGATGTGAAACCTTTTTGAGAAATAAGCACGGAAAACTCCCGCACCGGGTGAGACAAAGAGACTTACAAGTCCAGGATGCGCAGAGATCCCAAACAAAAAGGAATCCAAAGAGACCCACACCAAGACACATCATAATTAAAATGCCCAAGAGCAAAAGACAAAGAGCGAATCCTTAAAAGCAGCAGGAGAAAACCAGTTAGTTACCTACAAGGGAGTACCCCATACGACTGTCAGCTGATTTCTCAACAGAAACTATGCAGCCCAGAGGGGAGTGGCAAGAAATATTCAAAGTGATGAATAGCAAGAACCTACAGCCAAGATTACTTTACCCAGCAAAGCTATCATTCAGAATTGAAGGTCAGATAAAGACCTTCACAGGCAAGAAAAAGCTAAAGGAGTTCATCACCACCAAACCAGTATTATATGAAATGCTCAAAGGTATCCTTTAAGAAGAGGAAGAAGAATAAAAAGGTAAAGATACAAATTATGAACAACAAATACACATATATCACCAAGTGAATCTAAAAATCAAGTGAATAAATAATCTGATGAACAGAATAAAATGGGAACATCTTATTAAATCAGGGGCATGGAAGGGAAGTGGGCTGACAATTCTGGGGGGGGGGGGAAGTGGATTGACAATTCTCGAGGGGGGGGTGCGGGAAGAGACTGGAAAAAAAATCGTACACCTATGGATGAGGACAGTGGGGGGAGGGCAGTAAGGGCAGAGGGTGGGGTGGGAACTGGGTGGAGGGGAGCTATGGGGGGGAAAAAGAGGAACTGTAATAATCTGAACAATAAAGATTTAATTTTTTTTTAAAAAGACTTAAAAATAAACATAAAGATCAACGGAACAGAATGAAGAACCCAGAAATAAACTCTAGCCTCTATGGGCAAGTAATATTTGACAAAGACTAGCAAATACAAAACTAAACTCTCTGACATTTCTCACAGCAAAGTTTTTTCTACTTTATTGCCTCTGAAAAGGGAAACAAAAGAAAAAGTAAACAAATGGGATTACATCAAACTGAAAGGTTTTTTGAGCAGCAAAGGAAACCATCAAAGAACGAAAAGACAATCTACTGAATAGAAGAAGAACATTCAATTCCATGATAAATGATTACTCTCAAAAATTTACTGAAAACTCATACAACTCAACACCAGAAAAACAATCAAATTTTAAAATGGGCAGAGGACCTAAATAGATGCTTCTCCAAAGAGGATATACAGATGGCCAACAGGTATATAAAGAGATGCTCAATGTCACTAATTATTGAAATACAAATTAACCGACAATGAGGTATCACTTCACACCTATCAGAATGGCTGTCAACAATAAATCAACAAACAGGTGATAGTGAGAATGTGGAGAAAAGTGAACCTCTGGTACTGTTGGTGGAAATGCTGATTGATGCAGCCACTATAGAAAATAGTATGGAGTTTCCTCAAAAAGTTAAAAATGGCCCTAACCGGTTTGGCTCAGTGGATAGAGCATCGGCCTGCAGACTCAAGGGTCCCAGGTTCGACTCCGGCCAAGGGCATTTACCTTGGTTGCGGGCACATACCCAGCAGGGAGTGTGCAGGAGGCAGCTAATTGATGTTTCTCTCTCATTGATGTTTCTAACTCTCTATCCTTCTCACTTCCTCTCTGTAAAAAAAAAAAATCAATAAAATATATATTTTTTTTTAAAAGTTTAAAATGTGGCCGGCCAGTGATTGAGCATTGGCCCATGAACCAGGAAGTCACGGTTCAATTTCCAGTTAGGGCACATGCCCAGGTTGCAGGCTTGATCACCAGTAGGGGTCATACAGGAGGCAGCTGATGTTTTTCATTGATGTTTCTATCTCTCTATCCTTCTCCCTTCCTCTCTCTAAAACCAATAAAATTTAAATATATATATAAAGGCAACTTGGGTAGAATCCATGCTCTTTGAAAAACTAAAAATTAAAAATGGAACTGCCCCTCCTTCCTGGCTGAGAAGGCTAGAAATTTTGCTTTTTTTAAAAAAACATAGTATATCTTGGACACTGGAAATCATTTCAAGTTTATATATATAAATCTTTTACACAGGAAGCCAAGCAGAGAGAGGTTTAGGTTGATTAAAAATGGGAGTGGAGTAAGTGTATGCTACATGGAATTACAAATAAAATACAGAAAAACTTCCTGAATAATCAACTGAAGACTGGCTGGAGAGAACCCTGATAACTGAGAATGGAAAGTGAAGACTACATAGAGACTGGTAGGATGAGTTGAGCTGCGAAAGGACTGGTGGGGCTCCCACAGTCAACAACTGAAGTACCAGAGAGATATCTCAGCTGTGGGGGATTGACATTGAGAAATCTGGGGTCTAATCCCCAAGATGGACCCCCAAGTAGAGAGCACCAGAACTGAAAAGGGTGCCTACATAATATCTGACAGTGAAAAGCAGCAGGTTTGTTGCCTGCAAGAGAGAGACAGCTGGAAAAGCCAGCGCCCTCTTAAGGGACAACACACAAATTTCCATGTGTAGTCAGTCACTCACCCTGTGCTCCAGCAGAGGGACTGGAGTGGACTGGAGCTGTGTGAGCAGAAGCCAGGGTTGGGGGATCTGGGATTAGAGTTCAGAAGGCAGACACCATGGTTTCCTGTGCTAAATCATTTCCTCATACTGCAGAGGTTATCTTTCTCACACAGACAATTGCAATAGTCAGTCTTGCCCTTGAGGGGAAAACAGTTGACCCACCCTATTGGAAAACACCTTGCCCCACAGTGTGCAATTTCTGAATCCCATTAAGAGACTGAGAATATAAGACGGGAAACCATAAAAATCTTGGAAGAATCCATAAGCAGCAAAATATCAGACAGATGTCGTAGCAATATCTTTACCGATAGAGCTCCTAGGTCAGTGATGGCGAACCTGTGACACGCGTGTCAGAGTGACACGCGAACTCATTTTTTTGGTTGATTTTTCTTTGTTAAACAGCATTTAAATATATCAAATAAATATCAAAAATATAAATCTTTGTTTTACTATGGTTGCAAATATCAAAAATTTCTATATGTGACACGGCACCAGAGTTAAGTTAGGGTTTTTCAAAATGCTGACACGCCGAGCTCAAAAGGTTCGCCATCACTGATCTAGAGGGTATTATGCTAAGTGAAATAAGTCAGATAGAGAAAGATAAATACCATATAATTTCACTTATGTGTGGAATCTTAAAAAAAAAAATAAATGAACAAACAAAACTGAAAGAGACTCATAGATATAGAGAAAAAAATGGCTGGTTGCCACAGGCTATTAGAGTTGGGAAATAGATGAAAAAGGTAAAGGAATTAAGAAGTACAAACTGGTAGTCACGAAATAGTCATGGGGATATACAGTACAACATAGGGAATATAGTCAACAATGTTCTAATTACTATGTATGGTGTCAAGTAGGTGTTGAAAATATCAAGAGGATGGTCTAACCCAGTGATGGCAAACCTTTTGAGCTCGGCGTGACAGCATTTTGAAAAACCCTAACTTAACTCTGGTGCCGTGTCACATATAGCAATTTTTTTATTTATGCAACCATAGTAAAACAAAGATTTATATATTTTTTAAAAATATATTTTATTGATTTTTTACAGAGAGGAAGGGAGAGGGATAGAGAGTTAGAAACATCGATGAGAGAGAAAATCGATCAGCTGACTCCTGCACACTCCCTACTGGGGTGTGCCCGCAACCAAGGTACATGCCCTTGACCGGAATTGAACCTGGGACCCTTGAGTCCGGCGCTCTATCCACTGAGCCAAACAGGTTAGGGCTATATTTTTTATATTTATTTTATATATTTAAATGCCATTTAACAAAGAAAAATCAATCAAAAAAATGAGTTCACGTGTCACCTCTGACACGCGTGTCAGAGGTTCGCCATCACTGGTCTAACCATTATACTGTCTACCTGAAACTAGTACAAAATAATACTGAATATAAGCTGTCGTTTGAAAAATAAAATTTTAAAAATAATAAAACTGTGACCTTTATCCCAGAACTCCCCATCCTCTTTACACCTTGCTCTATTTTCCACCATCATCCTTTATCACTTAACATCTATTATTTCCTTATATACCATATATCCTTGTCCAATTCCTGTTAGAATTAAAACTCCATGACAGCAGAGATTTTTTTCAGTTCTTCTATCCCAGTACGTAAAACAGGGACTGGCACTTAAAAGACACCATTAATTATTTGTCAAACCAATGATTTAATTAATTGCCTATGAACTAGCAGTGAACCATTCCATTCACTCAAGGATTAAATCTATGCACTCCAAGCTTCTAATGATGGCTTGGTCTTTCCGGTAACCAGCCCTCATCGCCCACCAACAGACACCTCATTAGGACAGAAGACACTCCTTATCATCCAAGAAATTCCAAGGGATTTAGAAGCTCTGTGTCAGGAATAGTGCTCTAAGGCCAAATAGTTGAAGAAAAGATGCTTCCAGTTCTCTCATCACATAGGAAATTATGAGTATTTTAGGAGCTCTGCTCCAGGTACTGGGTGCAGAAACCAATATATATATTTTCTAATATTCACACCTTTAAAATAAAATATTGACCTTATACAGTTAATGTTTAAAGAGGTGAAGGTAAACTTTTTAACTTACTCCTTTAACATGCTCAAAGGTGACATTTTTCATCTGGACAGGATCTACTGCAGAATCAAGCCCCGTTGTTGTCCGGAAGCGGACTGAAAGAAAATGTTCATATGTTTAAAAGATTCATATAATTCCAACCACCTTATTTTTTCCTAAGCAAGAAAGCAAAGCCCAAACAAATTATATATCTAACTTCACATACATAAATTAGAGTGAGGAGTAAACACTAAGTTTTTTGGATTTCTGGACCATATTCAAGGAATAAATGACTCACGTTGAAATCACATCATTGTATTTTCCAATTAAAATTAAGGATTATATTCCTCTTCTCCTTGTAATAGCCAATGACAGAAATCTTAAATCAATGGTTCTCAAACTCCAGAATGCATAAACATCACTTGAAGTATGTTAATGCAGGTTCTCAGGCCATGGCACAGAAGTTCTGGTTTGTAGATTTATGAAAAGGGCACTGTAGAGTTTGCATTTTTAACAATCATCATCAGTTATCGTGATACAACCAGTCAGGGATCTACACTTTGAAATATTTTGCCATAACATAGCATACAAATCTAGGCATTTAAAAATAAAAAAGTGAAACTTAACAGTTGCACTTTTTAAATAACCTTCTTCCTCTGACAACTGTTATTATATGCTGTTAGATGACTTATCAATAATGATATCGCTAAGAATAAGAAAGGTAGTAAAAGCCCTAGCTGGTTCGGCTCAGTGCATCCGCCTACGGACTAAAGGGTCCTGGGTTCGATTCAGATCAAGGGCACATGCCCGGAGTTGCAGGCTTGATCCCCAGTAGGGGACGTGCAGGAGGCAGCCAATCAATGATTTTCTCTCACCATTGATGTTTCTATCTCTCTCTCCCTCTCCCTTCCTCTCTGAAATCAATAAAAAAATATTTTTAAAAAACAGATAGTAAAAGTTTGATAGAATAGTAAAATATCTGGGATCAACTATGGGGAACGAACAAATCAACTAGGCAACAAAAAGCTTTCTTAAACCTCTCCCCCTTTGGTAAACTTCCAGACTAGACAGATATAAATGAGTAAACTAAGCAATTTCTAATTTCCTCAAAATAAGTCACAAATATTATCTTTAGGATACTGAAATATAAAAGCTAAAAGTGAGCAGGCAAAAACTTAGGATTAACAAGAAATACTTAGCAAATCAAGAGCATACAAGTTGGGAGAGCAGATTTAAAATAGTAATTCTAGAATACGCATAATTAGTTTAGCTCACTAAATTACTTTTTAAGACTTTAATAAATTTGCAGCAGAAACAGCTGGACCTAATAAAAAATTAGAGTTATTACCCTAAGGCAGTGCATTTCATACTGTAACATGTTTTGCTTAATATAAGCCATTAATTTAAAAAAAAAAATCAGAGGTCAAGCCATCCCTCCCTCTAACAACCCACTCTATTATCCTATACTGGGTTTTTAAAAAAATATTCCTGTATATTTTTTATTGATTTCAGAGAAGAAGGGAGAGGGAGACAGAGAGAGAGATAGAATCTGCAACCCAGGCTTGTGACCTGACTGGGAATCAAACCTCGACCTCCTGGTTCATAGGTCAACATTCAACCACTAAGCCACACCAGCTGGACACTGGTTCTTTTTTTAAAACAGAAGGAAGCATGAGATGGTGAATCTAGATGTAAAAGCGATTTCTGGATGTTAAAAACCCTGTCTCAGGTTTCATGTCACACAAAAACTTTAAAAATATCTTAGGCTACATGCAAGTTCTAGGATGAAGTCCTGATCCAAATCAACTGATGTTCTTAATAAAACATCAGTTTTTTTCTCTCAAGGTAATCACGAAGAAAGTAAAAATAGTAGTTGAAAAAGCAATTAGAGCCACTTAAACCTCACATTATTACTTCATTTTATTTATTTTTTAATATATTTTTTATTGATTTTTTACAGAGAGGAAGGTAGAGAGATAGAGAGTTAGAAACATTGATGGGAGAGAAACATCGATCAGCTGCCTCCTGCACATCTCCTACTGGGGATGTGCCCGCAACCCAGGTACATGCCCTTGACCGGAATCGAACCTGGGACCCTTCAGTCCGCAGGCCGACGCTCTATCAGTTGAGCCAAACCGGTTTCGGCACATTATTACTTCATTTTAGATTGAGAAACTAAAAAACTATAGGACACATTTAATTTTATATAAAGTAATTTTTAATTCATTCAACTTATTAATTTGTCTTTAAAATAACTGTATCACTTTGTACTGCTATTATAAAATTCTGCTACATGTTTTTTTAACTTAATAATTGGACCAGTATAGATATCCCTGGCCAGGTGGCTCAGTTGGTTGGAGGGTCATCCCATACTCCAAAAAGTTTAGGGTTTGTTTCCCAGTAAGGGCACATACCTAGGTTGCAGTTTCAATCCCTGGTAGAGGTGTGTATACACAGGAGGCAACTGATCGATGTTCTCTCTCTCTCTTTCTCTCTCTCTCTGTCTCCCTTCTTCCTCTCTTTAAAAAAAACAAACAAAACAATAGTGAACCTCTGTGAGGATTAAAATCTAGGAAACCAACCACTATCACTACTAGAAGTTGAAATAACATTTTCACTCTAACACAATCCTTGGAACTTTCACAAAACATTATTTTCTCAAAATGCGCAAAACTTGAATTTGTACAGTGCCTAAAGAAACTTTTCTTGTAATCCACAAATCAGTGTAAAGTTTTCTTTCTTTAAGTCTTAAATATTAAATAGACTATGAAAAAGAAATGAGTATGTGAAATATTTTTAAGATTAAATTAGTACATCAGATAAATAAAAAGAAACTTTACCAGATAAAAATGGGTTTTTTAAAAGTCCATAAATGCCTAATAGCAGCAGAACAAAGAGAATCAGACGAGTTCGTCTTAGAGAATCTGGAGAAGAAAGAAAAAGCCGTAAATCAAATGATATCAATGAGAAATGACAGCTCAATGAGATGCAAACATTAGGTTACTGATGGTAATCATATTTCATCACACACAATTTTGGGACCTGGTGTTCTTTTGCATAATTGCCATAATTTCCTTTTAGCACCTTGCTACCAAAAACTTCGTAAAGCCTTGACTTCGGTTTCTCAGTTGAGAAAGGGAAAATACTAGCAGATAGTTCCATTTCTGCACAACTTCAGTTATAAACATAATACAATATAAACAATTAAAAACTGGATAAGAAGTAGAAAAGTTATTCATAATCACTTGAAGGGAGAACTTTGACTTCCTTTCATATACTCTCTTCAAATATGAATGTCAAATTAGCTTACCATTGGTTTTTTGTGTTAGTGCTTGAGCTTTCAGAAAACCCTCTGCAAAACCAGTTTTAAATGCATCTTGGTGAGCTTCAGGTATGTTTTTGGTTTTCATGAGTTTGTCCAAAGTCTCAACATCTGATCCCCTGTCCCGCAAAAGAAATCCCTAAATACACAAGCAATTCATTAGTATTAACTAACTGTAAAAGGTAGTAACACTCCCCAGAAATATTCTGACCACTCACACACTCAAAAATTTATTGAAATTCTAGAATTTTTTAATCTTATTGTTAGTGTGACAAATTTTATAAAAACTCAATAATAAGTTACTTAGCAATGGCTAGGAAACTAACAGTGGATCCTATACCTATGTCAATCAAGAAATTCTCTGCAAAAACACTATACTTAAAATAGGTTGACTTAGGGTTCTAATTGCTTGATGTTCAAACTCCTTTGATGAATAAACAATTATCTGAATGCTTTCCATCTATTGGGGAGAGATATATAAAGTTTTGGCATTATATTAGAAGTACTAGGTATAGTGGTAAACTAAATGCTACCTAAGGAAGTCAAGAAAGGCCTTTCAGAGAAAGGGATATCTTAGCCACAGAGAACAAACAGCATGGACAATCTAAAAAGGCATGAAACAACAGTCTTTAGAGCTGAAGAACTACAAGATTATGTGACAGGACTTTAAAATGCCAAAAGAAGAGGAAGGTAGGGGTACAAAGGGGGTTACACATTGAGAGATGAAAACAAACAATAACATGCCTTGTGTATCATGGCAGGTGACAATAAAGCAGGGGAATACAATTATGACATGTAATACGTAATACATTTTAGACGGACTGATGGGTGGCAGTCTGGAGGCTAAACTTAAGGTAGTAAAACTAAAGGCATGGAGAGTACGTGAGTGCCTGTAACCATTTCTTGCCTAGATTACTGTAATAATCTATGCAACAGAACTGGGAGGGAATAAAAAAGAGATTTAAGAGGCTGGGTTGGATCAACAGGATTTTAATGACCAATAGGACTTAGTGATTAATGGATGTGGGAGATAAAAGATGGACACATCAAAGTTGATCAGCAGGCTACTAGCTTGAGTGGATGCTACTCATAAGCAGGTATAGGTTGATAGGGAGAAGAAATAGAGTGAGATGTCTTAAAGGCCAGTGGAGAGATAAGTCTGACACCCAGAAGAGTTGTAGTTAGGATTACACAGGATATTCATCCTTTATCATAAGTAGAAAAATGGAGAAAATTAATAAGCCTGCAAAAGAACTCAGAAATTGAAGGTTCTCATTTTAATAACTTGAAAATTATTGCTCTTTCAAACAAACAAACAAAAAACAAACAAAAATGGTCTAATTACCTTCACAAATGATGGTGCTATATACTGTGTTTCTGCTAATCTTTCAGAGGTGGACTGCAGACGTCGTGTCCTTGATTTTAACGTTTTAAAACTCCGAGACTGTATGAAAACTGAATGAAACAGTGTCACATTTACTTCTCATTGTACATTTTGTACAAGAAGAGAATTATGCCTAAGATTCAAAATGCTGACACCAGACCTGTACATCCTAGGTCTTCATCTTGTTTTTTAATAGTTCTTTCCCTGACACTTCAACACACTTGTCATTAAAATGGATTGATCTATGTCATCGACTGTAGTTTTATTTTGGTAATTTAAAAATGTAAAAAACAAAACACAGATGAGTATCAAATAAAAATCAGTGTCTCCTAATTCCTCAAATCCCACTCCTACTTCCTATATTTAACCAGTTTTGATTAACAATTCCATGACTATACTTCTATGTGTTTAAACACATGCTCTTTCTATAAAAATAGTACATACCTTTCTGCCATTGTTTTCTTTCACTTAATATATCATGGACATTTTCAAAATAGGTCAGACAGTACATTCAGCTTAATGGCTGTTTATAGTTTTCCAATTTTCTATCTAGGTAAAGCAATTTATTTAACCATTTCTCTACTCCAGACATTAGTTGCTTCCTATTTTTTTAAAAAATTTATTTTTATTGATTTCAGACAGGAAGGGAGAGGGAGGAGAGATAGAAACATCAATGATGAGAGAGAACCACTGACTGGCTGCCTCCTGCATACTCCCTACTGGGGATCCAGCCCGAAATCTGGGCATGTACCCTTGACTGGAATCGAACCCAGGACCCTTCAGTCTGCAGGCCAACGCTCTATCCACTGAGCAAACCAGCTAAGGCGCTTCTTATTTTTTATTGCTAAAAATAATGCTGGAGTAAAATTCTTATGCCTATTTTCTTACAGTACATGCAGACTAAAATCCTAAAAGTAAAATTGTAAGATTTACATGGTTTAACACTTAAGAAATTGCCCTCTAGAAAGCTATTATCTATTTATACACCCACCAATGAATATGATTATCCTTTTCTCCACAGCCTTTGCAACAATGGGTAATATAAATCTTGTTAATTTGTACAAATCTGATGGACAAAAAGTAGTATTTTGTTTTAATTTGCATCTTGGAATAGAAGTGAGAGTAAAATTTGAAAAAAAAATTATTTTTATTATTTCTATTTCTTTAGTAATTGACTACTCATGCATGACCTGTGCACATATTTTCATTTGCAGAATATGGATGTCATGTATACTACCCTTCAGTTATATTTATTTCATACATTTATTTTAATGTCTTTGTCTCTTAATTGATACAGTAATTTATAAAATTAATGTAGCCCTATCTTTTAACCTGTAGTTTTTTTGCATTGTACTTTTTATTAATTTCAGAGATGAAGGAAGACGAGAGAGGTAGAAACATGAATAATGAGATAGAATCATTGATTGGCTGCCTCCTGCACGCTACCCACAGGCGATGAAGCCCACAACCTGGACATGTACCCTGACTAGGAACTGAACCATGACCTCCTGGTTCACAGGTCAATGCTCAATCACTAAGCCACGCTAGCAGAGCTTCTGTACTGTGCTTTATCATAAGTAGAAAAATGGAGAAAATTAGTAAGCCCACAAAAGAAATCAGATATTGAAAGTTCTCACTTTAATAACTTGGAAATTATTGCTCTTTCAAACACCCAAACTATGGTTTTAAAGGTAGTCTACTGACTTCATCTAATACTTTGATTTTTTTTGTCAGACCTTTACCTACTTGGAACTTTTGTTTTAATGTAAGAAAAAAATCAGATTCTGTTTTGTTTTGTTTTACACCCAAGTTTAAAATCAACTTCTTAATTTTCATAACAAGTCTTTACTAGAATTGTACTGAATTGATAAATTTAGGTGTGAATTGATATTGTTATAATACTTAGTCCTTCTATAAAGGATGATGGTATTTTTCTTTGTATTTTACTCAGCTCTTCCTTTACTTCTTTCAGCGAAGTTTTCTATGCACACACACACACACACACACACAATGTGTGTATACATTATGTTGCATGTTTCTTGCCAGGATAAAATATTTAATGGGTTTTGAAAAAACTGTAAATAAATTCTATTGCTAAAATAACTATTGATATTTATGCATTTATCTTACTTGGTATCTATGTAATGAACTCTTACTACTTGAGCAGCCTTTCAAGTTGATACCGCCTGACCCCTGGTGGTCAGTGCATGTCACAGCCACCAGTTGTTCCACCATCTGGTTGATTTGCATATTAGCCTTTTATTATACAGGATTATCTGTGGCAGGTCTCACTTTTCAGTTCTAATATTGTTTGTATTTCCTTACTGTTTCTTAGTCAGATTTGTCTGTTCTATTTTCTTAATTTTTTTCAAAGTAAATTTGTTTTTGACTCATTCGTTCGTTCATTCATTCATTCTTTCAATCATTCATTCATTGTTTTAATCTTTACTCAAGGGAAGATATTTTTCCATTGATTTTTAGAGAGAATGGAAGGGGGGAGAAAAGAGAGAGAGAGAGACAGACAGACAGACAGACAGACATTGATGTGAGAGAGACACATCGATTGGTTGCTAGCCAAACATATCCTGACCAGGGCCAAGATTCAAACCCGGGACCCTTCAGTCCACAGGTGAGCCAACACTCTGACCACTGAGCAAAACTAGCTAGGGCTGTTCTTGATTTCATTAAGTAAAATGTTCTTGCTGTTATATTCACTTAATTTCATGTCTGTTTTGTCCATATTAATTTCTCATATTTAAAACATTCTCAAAATGATTGTTAATCGATTTAGTTCCCATCCTCATTTCCTAATAGCTTATACAATGCTCGATACATCAGTATGTCACCAACCCAAACATTTTGATATGCAGATTTTCATTGTGGTTCATTACTAATTGTTTGTCATTTCAGTTTTCACTTTGATATTTCCCTTCAGTCACAAGAAACTCAAAAAAGTATCTTTAAATTTCCACATATTTAGGTTATTTTTTAACTATCCTTTCTGTTATTTGATTTCAGTTTTGTTGTATGATCAGAGACCCTACCTCTGAGTTATGTTTTGAAAATAAAGATATACTTCATACCCTAATACAGTTATAAATGTTTTGAAAAAGAAGATATACTTCATACCCTAATAATTTTGGTCTCCATGAATATTTAAAAATATATCATTCTTAAGTATATTTCTATCTTATACATTAACAATTTCTTCGGAGGATTATTGATCTTGTTACTCAACTTCATGCATCTCTTTCATGCTGCAAGCTTTCCTCAAATACGTGGAGAGTCTTGCTAATTCATTGATAGGTTTCTTCAAACCTACCAAGGTGGTAAATGCATTTAGACTATAAGATATAGACTTATGGTGAATGAGCAGGATGCCTTCAGTGTATGATTCAAGTCCAAAAGCAATCTGGAGTACAACTGTTGTTTGTTGTTTCTCTCTTCAACATCAGAGTTCAAACCAGGAGTCTTCAGAGACAAACTCTTCTCAACACACACACACACACACACACACACACACACACACACACACACAGACCTGTATTGCAAAGGTGTTTCTTGCCAATTGTAGCCTAAAATTTAAAAGCTGTATCTGCTCTGTGATTGGCCCATTTCTTGATATCTTTCAACTGTTTACTATATCAACCATCCGAGAGCCCCTTATACTTTACTAGAACTTTGGGGGTTTTACTAAGTTCTACTGTAAATAGTATAGACCTCTTATATCAATCTGAGTTCCATAAAGGAAGGTAGCATCTGTCATTTTTATTTATCACTGTGACCTAAAACCCATCACTAGTGCCTGATATAATGTTATCATATGATAACCAATAAATATGAATAAATGCATATTTGATTTTGCTAGCAATTTGATGCCATCTACTTTATAAACTACTAGAGGCCCAAAGCACAAAATTCATACCAAGGGGCTCGGCCCTTGCAGCCCCAGCTTCGTCTGGAAGATCGTTCAGGCATCTGGTCTAATTAGCATGTTATGCTTTTATTATTATTATAGATGTATGTAAAGTCCTCAAATTTCTGACACATTTATGAAATCCCTCTTCTTGCCCTGACTTCTTTCTCATTTTTCTATTTTTTTCTGTCTTGCATTAGTATTTTGAAAATGAGGGAAAGTAAGCAAATGTGCTTAGTCATTTTGAAGCAAGTGTACCCTAGACTATGATTTACTATGGCATTTATCTCATTCAAAATTTAGCTCCTACTTTATATTTTCCATAGATATACCCAAACTAAATAACAAATACTCTATAAGTTTTACTGTGTGCTACAAATGAATGTTTTCAATAGTTAGCATCATTAAGAAAAACAAATCAGAATTTATTAAATACAGCTATTTTTTCCAAAATAAATAAAGTCATTGCTTCATACCTGGCCAGTACTGAAGATCTGAACAAATGCTCTTCAGAGTTCTTGAATGTTGTCTGTACAAGCAAGAGGAACGTAAAGTACTAAATACATCGATATAACCTAGAGGGGAAATAAAAAAGTAAATGTTATAATTACAAAACCATAAAAAAAATTCATATAAAACAGTTTTACCAAGTATTAGAAAAATCAAAATGTTTTGCCTTTCATTTGTACATACTTTTATATATATCTAAAAGCACTGCTAATCTATACTAATAAAAGGGTAATATGCTAATTAGACCGGGAGACCTTCCGGACGTCCTTCCAGACAAAGCCATTGTGGCAGAGCTGAGGCAGAGGCGGTTAGGGGTGATCAGGCCAGGAGGGGAGGGCAGCTGGGGGCGAGCAGGCCGGAGGGGGGGAGCAGTTGGAGGTGAGCAGGCCAGCAATGGGGCAGTTAGGGGCAATCAGGCCAGCAGGGAGGGCAGCTGGGGGTGATCAGGCCAGCAGGAGGGGGCAGTTGGGGGCAAACAGGCCAGCATGGGAGGCCAGTTGGGGGTGATCAGGCCAGCAGTAGGGGCAGTTAGGCAAAATCAGGTTGGCGGGGGGGGGGAGGGGGGGAGGGCAGTTGGGGCGAGCAGGCTGGTGAGGAGGCAGTTGGGGGTGATCAGGCCAGTGGGGGGATAGTTGGAGGTGAGCAGACAAGCAAGGGGGGGCAGTTGGGGGCAAGGCCAGCAGAGGGGGCAGTTGGGGGCGAGCAGGCCAGCAGGCAGAGTGGTTAGGGGTGATCAGGCAGGCAGGCAGGCAGGTGAGCGGTTAGGAGCCAGCAGTCCCAGATTGCGGGGTCCCAAATTGGAGAGGGTGCAGGCCAGGCTGAGGGACACCCTCCTCCCCCTGCACGAATTTCGTGCACCAGACCACTAGTCCAAATATACTTCTTCACCACTTTACTATCCATCACTTGTCAACCATGTTATCTGATATACAAATATAGCAGCCAATGAAATTAAATTCAAATTAAGTGGTAAAGACATATATGTTTAGCTACAGTTACTTTTTTAAAATATATTTTTATTGATTTCAGAGAGGAAGGGAGAGGGAGAGAACATCAATAATGAGAATCATTGATCGGCTGCCTCCTGTACGCCCCCCACTGGGGATCGAGCCCACAACCCGGGCATGTGCCCTTGACAGGAATTGAACCAGGATACTTTCAGTCTGCAGGCCAACGCTCTAACCACTAAGTCAAACCAGCTAAAGCTAGCTAAAGTTACTTTTACTTAAGAACATAAAAAGATAAAGAATCATTATTTCCTAGAGACAATTTAAAATTGAACAATTTGATAAAACCAGATATACTGCGATCTTTCTCTCTCAAGGCTTCCACAGTCATTTGGAACAAAGAATGTTTCTTCTATAGCTATAAGCCATGAATACTTTGGGGTTCCTTCCTAAGTCCTATTCTTAACTAATGGGCTTATTTACATGAGCCTACAGAAAAGTAATGAAGAAACAACAAAAACAGTGGTTCTCATCTGTCCTTGTATCCCAGTAAGGATTCAATAATTCTTCTAAGAACCCTTAGAGTAAAGTCAGAAAACCCTTCCTAATACCTCTGTCTGCCTAAGCCTAGAAAATGGCTGGCAGTAAGGATACGTAAGTAAGAAAACTAGGAGGGCATAATAGTAAAAATATGACAAAAATAATAATAATAAAAATTTTACTCTACTGAATACTTACTATGGGCCACAAGGACTTTAAATTATTTCATCTGGTCCTCTAAAGTGAAATAGTTAGAAACCATCAACAAAACAATAAGAAAGCCCACTGTACGGGAGAAGATACTTGCCAATGCTATCTCAAATAAGGGTTTAATCTCCAAAGTTTACAGGGAACTCATACAAATTAACAAAAAATAAACAATCCAATCAAAAAATGGGCAAAGGACCTAAACAGACACTTTTCACTCAAAAGAGGACATATAGAAGGCCGAGAAACATGAAAACATGCTCAAAGCCACTAATCATCTGAGAGATGCAAATCAAAACAACAATGAGGTACCATCTCACACCTATCAGAATGCTATCATCAACTAACGCCGAGTGCTGGAGAGGATGTGGAGAAAAGGGAACCCTCGTGCATTGCTGGTGGGAATGCAGACTGGTGCAGCCACTGTGGAGAACAGTATGGAGTCGGGGGGGGGGAAAAGGAGACATACTTAATACTTTAAACCATCGGTCCACCAACCGGTGGTCGGCGGACCACTGGTGGTCCGTGAGGTCCAAAAGGTTGGCGACCGCTGCTTTAAACAAACAAACAAACAAAAAAGAATCCCCCCAAAAATAAATAAAGTGAAAGAGTTATTCCTCACACTCATATGAAAAAACAGCAATTAAAGAAATTAAATAAATACTAATCAATCAGAAGCAGAATTGTATTTTATCCTAATCTACTCCTCACTCTTTTTCTGTTGTTGTTGTTGTTAATCCTCACCCAAGAATATTTTTTCCATTTATTTTTAGAGAGTGGAAGAGAGGGAGGGAGCTGGAAGGAGGGAGACACACAGAGAGAGAAACACTGATGTGAGAGACACATCAATTGGTTGCCATCCACACACAACAACCAGGGCTGCGGATCAAACCTGCAACCAGGTCCAAGACCCTCTAACCACTGAGAAACACGAGCTAGGGCTAATATTTTTATTATTATTGACATTATCACAGATGTCCCAAATTTCCCCCAATTTTGCCTCCTTCACCCAACCCCTGACCCACCTCAGGCCTTCACCACATTAGTATCTGTGTCCATGGGCAATGCATATATGTTCTTTGGTTAATCTCTTCCAGTCTCCCCAACCCCCTCCCTCTAAGACCTGTCCATCTGTTCCATGTATCCATGCCTCTGGTCCTATTTTGTTTGTCAGTTTATTTTGTTCATTACATTCCACATACAAGTGACATCACGTGCTATTTGTCTTTCTCTGACTGGCTTATTTCGCTTAGCATAAAAATCTCCAGGTCCGAGCATTATGCTAAGCAAAATAAGCCAGTCAGAGAAAGATAAATATCACATGATCTCACTCATTTGTGGAATATAATGAACAACATAAAATTGATGAACAAAAACAAATCCAGCCCTAACTGGTTTGGCTCAGTGGATAAAGCGTCAGCCTGTGCGGACTGAAGGGTCCGAGTTTCGATTACGGTCAAGGGCATGTACCTTGGTTGTGGGCACATTCCCAGAAGGAGGCAGCTGATTGATGCTTCTCGCTCATCAGTGTTTCTAACTCTCTATCCCTCTCCCTTCCTCTCCGTAAAAAAAAAATCAATAAAAAATACATTTAAAAAAAAACAGATCCACAGACAGAGAAGCATCGATCAGACCGTCAAACCTCAGAGGGAAGGTAGGGGCAGGTGGGGATAAGGGGAAGAGATCAACCAAAGGACTTGTATTCATGCATATAGTAAGCATAACCAATGGACACAGACACCAAGCAGGTGAGGGCATGAGTGGGGGGCAATGGGGGACACATATGTAATACCTTAATCAATTAAAAAAAGTTTTTTTAAAGAAAAAAATAAAGTCTGTGATTCTAAATCAATCAATCAATCAATAAAAATCTCTAGGTCCATCCATACTACTGCGAAGGGTAAGAGTTCTTTCTTTTTTATAGCCAAGTGGTATTTCATTGTGAAAATGCACCACAGCACTCTTATCCACTCATCTACTGATGGGCATTTGGGCTGTTTCTAGGTCTTAGCTATTGATAACACTGTCATGAGCATAGAGGTTGCAGATTCAATTCCCAGCCAGGGCACATACCTAGGATGAGGTTTCGATCTCCAGTCGGGGTGCTTGTACTGATTTTAAAAATCTGTTCTTGCCTGGATGGTGTAGCTCATTGATTGAGTGTGGACCTATGAACCAGGAGGTCACGGTTCGATTCCAAGTCAGGGCATATGTCCAGGCTCGATCCCCAGTAGGGGGGCGTGCAGGAGGGAACCAATCAATGATTCTCTCTCATCATTGATGTTTTTATCTCTCTCTCCCTCTCCCTTACTCTCTCTGGAATCAATAAATATATATATATATCTTTTAATCTGTTCTTTTATCAATATAGAACAAGTATTTTGACAAGCTTCTAACATTCCTTGTTTAAGCATCATCCAAAAAGAATTCATAAAGCTGACATCTCTTCCAACAAAATACCCACTTATTATAATTCAGATTGTTACAAGACTCAAGAAAATATGTAGACATTCTATAAAAAAAAGGGAAAAGAGACTGTGACAGTTTCTTCAATATATTCTGAGATTAGTAGTATGTTACATGGAATGCAATATATGTAGTATAATGTGTTAGATCCTGGAACAGAAAATGAATCCTAGTGGAAAAACTAGTGATTTGCAAAATTAAACTTTTATTTGGTAAAAATCTAAATTAAGTCTATAATAATAGAAGTCTATAGTATAGAACTTTGTACTACCTTTACAACTTCTCTGTAAATCAAAAATTATTCCAATTTAGCCCTGGCCAGTGTGACTCAGTTGATTGGATGTCATCCTATGTACCAAAAGGTCACTGATTTGATTCCTGGTCAGGGCACAAGCCCGGGTTGTGGGCTTGATCCCCGATGGGGGGGCGGCCAGGGCGTGCAGGAGGTAGCCAATCAATGTTTCACTCTCACTTCAATGTTTCTCTCTCTCTCTCTAAAATCAATAAAAATATCTTTTAAAAATAATATAAAATAGCCCAGCTGGATTGAGCATTGAGGTTCGATTTCCTGGTCAGGGCACATGCTCAGGTTTAGAGCTTGATCTCCAGTGCGGGACATGAAGGAGGCAGTCGATCAATAATTCTCTCTCATCACTGATGTTTCTATCTCTCTCAACCTCTCCTTTCCTCTCTGAAATCAATAAAAATATATTAAAAAATAACAAAATAAAATAATTCCAATATAAAAAGTTGGGAAGGAAAGGAAAGAAGGGAGGAAGGAAGAAAGGAATAAAACAAGTAGCAAAGAATCTGGTACACGGTGATTGTGATAATCACTACTATAATTATTAATAGTACTAAAATTAATTAGAACAAAAAATATATTAACTTACCATATTTATTTTCAAAGAAGGACTGTGCAGAGACATGAGATGTATGCCAATGGGAAGAAATGTTTTTGCCTTTACAAATTCCAGGAAGTAGACTGTCTACCAATTGATCAATCTGTCCAATTTTTAATTCAGATAATCCAAGGTCCCTTAAGTTAAGCACAGGCTGTAAAACATTAAGTCAACGAAGTAAACATTAATGCTATCAAGATATTTAATTTATAGAGTACTCATCAGTTGAAGCAATATGGGTTTTTAAAAATCTAACAAATATACTGGTTTCCTTTTTCTTTCTAATATATAAATTGGTGAAAATATTTTCATAGTTCTTGTTTTCTTAAGGTCAGTCATGTGAGTTTTGACAGAAGTTGAAAAAAATTATCTTCTCAATGGTATAATCACTAGTCTTTGGAGCTTTAAAGAACCCTCCAATCTCTAATGCCCATAAACAAAAGCCCATCTATATTCTATATATATAAAAGCCTAAGCGACCAGTCGACCAAACAACCAGACGCTATGACGCGCACTGACCACCAGGGGACAGATGCTCAACACACAAGATTGGGCGCCCTCCTGTCTGGATTGGGCCTGTGGGGACTGGGCCAAAACTGGCTATCCGACATCCCCCGAGGGGTCCCAGATTGCAAGAGGGCACAGACCAGGCTGAGGGGCCCCACCGATGTATGAATCAGTGCACCGGGCCTCTAGTTTGATAAATAAAGTGTATGCTCTGCTACCACAGGATATCTCACTCCTCTGGCCTTATTGCTGAGATCCTTCTTTGAACTGACAGGTTCTGTAGTTACCCATATCTATCTTCTAATGAGGAAAACTAAACAAAGTAAAAAATATGTGAAAACTATGCAATATACCTATCTAAAATAGTTCTAACGTAACAAATAGATAGGAGTTATTTTTTTTTGCCCATGTGAGCTGACTGAGAGACACTAAAGAACAACAATTACAAGCCCCAGACAGTTAAAACTTCAAGTAAGAGAGCAAAAATAAACAGAACAAGTGTCAAATTTTTATAATATAGCTTTAGATTGATGTCCAGGAGTTTATCACTTATTAGCTTTGTAAGAAGTCATTCATATTCTTATAATCCATTTTCTTGTTAATAAAACGACTATGAAATATGTCCTGCCTATTTCATGAGATAGTACAGATCAAAAGAAGAGATCATGCTGTGCTCATCTACCTATCTTATCCCACACATAGTAAGATAAAGGCATCATGACGTAATTTTTTTTTTCATTTTCACATTTACTCTTTATTATGTGGTATGTAATGCAAGTATGTACTATACTAAAATACTTATATTTCCAAAGTACATTTTACATGGTACAGCCCATAGCCTCTGCAGAAGCATTATGAGTAACCTGTGCCTTTATACTTTATAATCCATTGTTGGTTGCTGTGAAAAGTTTAACAGATGAAGAAAACATAAAACAAAGCCAAATAGGAATACACTTTTCTAAATATACACATATACAGCTTACAATGGACTGCAATAAAAACAAGTCAAATAGCATTTGATGTAGTATCTATAAAATGCAGACTGTAAAAATAGTCAAAGGAACATGAAATATATTTTAACTTTAAAAATAACTTAGAAAAAAGACTTAACAATGAAGAATCTGATATGGTGACTCTGAACAATATTATATAGAAAAGAATCTAGAAAAAGGCTTAGGTGTTAAATGTTTATTTCCGCTTGCTCAGAAAATGAGGAGTATAAAATTCCTCAGTGTGACTTGTACAGCCCTTCATAGGTAGTGCCCATCTTGGCCCTGCCAGATTTCTTATGTCTACAAACAAAGCGTGAGCTGAACATCATCCATGCCTGTGAAAATGGCTTCTGACTCCCTCTTTTTCCTAGGACAAGTTTTTTTCTGGGTTTTTGTTTGGTTTGATTTTTAAAACTGTTTCTACAAAGAGGGCATAAGAGATTAAAAAAAAAAAAACACAAAACTTTGTAAGAACATTATTTTAGAAAATCACCACAAATAGAGCCAGTGAAGCTCTTCTCTTTCACCTCTTTTACTGTGGTTCATTGTTTTGTGGTATATGTTTTGCGGTTGTTGGTTTTTTGTTGTGGATTTTTTTTGTTTTTGTTTTTGTTTTGGTGGTGGGGGGGGGGGGGGACTTTTACCTCAAAAGAATTGCTGAAAAATTCATTACTTATTTTTATCCCTAACATTCAGCACCTCGTCCAGAAATAAGGGCCCAAGATCAAGCTTCACGGAGAGGCAGAAACTTGCCAGATCAGAGAGGGACTCCTCTGATTCAGTCTTTTCCTTGCCAAGCTTGCACAAGGGTGGAGTGGTCAAACATGTCCTTGGCACAGGTACTGTTCTGAAAGGCTAGAGGAGTAGCTCTCCCTACCCTAACTGTACTGCCACACGGACCCACTGGAACCACATGAGACATCTCCCTGGTGGACTGTCCCATTCTCCAACAGACTGCTTTTCTCCTGAGCCTTTTCCTCCATGACAGTCTCACAGTTAAGCCTGGGCAGCTTTGTTGGCCCAAAGGTCTCCTGTTTGGAATTAAATGGCACTAGTGACAATAAGGACAACATGAGTGCTTGTGACCCACCATGGTTAGGAGGGAGATGGCATTTTAGAGCACAGGGGAGGGCATTTCTGGTTCTGTTGGCTCAGAAGGACTCATTATGCCCAGGGAACTCACTCTGTTTCCAGGTAAAAAGGTCACAGGTTCCTTGAAGTAAGAAAATGTCTCCAAAGACGTCATGCTGGCCCTCTGCCAATGTGAATAGTGTGGCAAAAGTCTCCAAGGGGATGACTAACATGTCAGGAGACAAAATGTTCTTCAGCCCCGGCCTGTGTAGTTCAGTGGTTAGAGTGTCAGCCTGCACACTGGAGGATCACGGGTTCAATTCCCAGTCGAGGGCATATACCTGGGTTGCAGGTTCAATCCCTTCCCCGGTCTATCAGTGAGTGTGGAAAGAAACTAATTGATGTCTCTCTTTCACATCAATGTTTTTCTCTCTCACTCCCCCTCCTTCCCTCTTTTCCACTCTCTCTCTAAAAAAAATTAATCAATGGAGAAAATATTCTTGAGGGTTAATTAAGGGTCTTGGCATTTTGAGAATGTCTCTTTTGCAAAAGGGAAAAAGAGACACTTTCTTCACAGAGGTTATATGTTTTCAACAATCTTTTCGATAGGACCTGTCTCACCACTTGTGTCAGGTATCTTCAGAAGTGGCTATGAAAGGAGACAGGTCAAAAAGACCTCCCTAAAGTTTCAGCAAAGCGGGGCTTTCTGAAGAGCCAGCAACAACATCCAATCCCTTTCACAACATGGAGAAATCAGCAGCACCTGAGGATCTCAGCTGCCACCCCAGCTGCTGCCTGGAGGCTCGTATACAGTCCCTCCCTGCTAGTGCAAACACAGCCTCACAGCCCAAGGCTGCTGACCTCCAGGCACCTCTGCGGCTGGGGACAGCCTGCTGGAGAGAAGGTGCCTGGAGAGAAGGTGCGAGCAGAAATAAGATATTTAAAAGTGTCTTTTAAACTGTTAAAAACTATCTATACTAATAAAAGGGTAATATGCTAATTAGACTAGACATCTTCCAGACATCTTTCTGAACAAAGCCACAGTGGCAGAGGCCGAGGCAGAGGTGGTGGGGGAGAGCAGTTAGTGGGATCAGGCCGGCAGGAGAGAGCAGTTAGGGAGATCAGGCCAGCAGGGGAGAGAGGTTATGGAGATCAGGCCGGCAGGGGAGAGCAGTTAGGGGTGATCAGGCAGGCAGGGGTCCCGGATTGGAGAGGGTGCAGGCTAGGCTGAGAGACCCCCCCCCCCCCATGCACGAATTTCGTGCACCGGGCCTCTAGTACAATATAAAGCACATTATCATAATGGAAACAAAAGACTACAGTATTCAAGAGCTCTTTTTTTTTTAAATATATTTTTATTGATTTCAGAGAGGAAGAGAGAGGGAAAGAGAGAGAGAAACATCAATGATGAGAGAGAATCATTGATTGGCTGCCTCCTGCACGCCCCCTACTGGGGACTGAGCCCAAAATCCGGGCATGTGCCCTTGACGGGAATTGAACCCAGGACCCTCTAGTCCACAGGCTAATGCTCTATCCACTGAGCCAAACTAGCTAGGGCAAGAGCTACTTTTCAAAAGTTATCTTGTAAAATGGGAAGCCCAAAAGTCTATTTATAATGCATAGACTTCAAAAGGAAAACAAAGACTCTTAATGAAGACAGAAAATTATTCCCCTTACTCAGAGTGTCATCAGGTCTTAGGAACATAAGAGAAACAGAGTACATATAAACATGGCAATTTTCATGCAACATGTTAACTGCTACTAAAGAGATGACTTCTAAAAATGGTGAGAGAGCCCTAACTGGTTTGGCTCAGTGGATAGAGTGTCGGCCTGCGGACTGAAGGGTCCCAGGTTCAATTCCGGTCAAGGGCATGTACCTTGGTTGCGGGCACATCCCCAGTAGGGGGTGTGCAGGAGGCAGCAGATTGATGTTTCTCTCTCATCGATGTTTCTAACTATCCCTCTCTCTTCCTCTCTGTAAAAAAATCAATAAAATATATATTTTTTAAAAAGAATTGGTCTGTGAAGCAATAACAAGCACTCATTAAAGACAAAACAATAGAACTAATGAAGGTATCATCAGAGGTTAATACCAATTCTACATTTGAGACCATTAGTCTTAACTTCAACATTGGCTTCTAGAATTTAGTTACCTTTCAAGCCCCCAAAAATGTACCTTCATTACTGACCTAGCAATTTCACTTAATGAGTCAAAGATTTAGCAACCTGGATAGTAAAATGGTGTTGTTTATAGCAACAAAAATTTAGAAACAATATCCAACAACAGGACATCATACGATGAAGACTTTGAAGACATTAAAAAATTGGAAAATGTATGACCTAACAAGTTCATAGGACTATTAAATGAAGAAAGCAGAATCCAAATCAGCACTGCAATGTTATTCAATTATCTATATTTATAAAAGGCTAAGCGACCGGCCAACTTGGCCGGTAAGTATGAAGTGCAATGACCACCAGAGGGCAGGCGTTCAATGCAGGAGATGCCCAGCTATAGCAACTCTCACATTCCATGACGCCCTTCGAGCCAGCCAGGAAGAGACTGCGGGAGGTTGGTTCCAGGGCGTGTCCAGCCCATCTCGCCAGTCCTGCCCTGTCGGCCACCTTCTAATCAATTTCCTTTCAATGTGCAACGAATCCGTGCAGTGAGCCACTAGTAAAATAGAAAAGTGCCAGAGGCCTGATGCACAGATTCGTGCCACCAGTGAGGTCCCTCGGCCTGGCCTGCACCCTCTTGTAATCTGGGACCCCTTGGGGGATGTCAGATAGCTGGTTTCGACCCAATCCAGACAGGAGGGAGCCCAATCCCTGCAGGCCTGATCCAGACAGGAGGGAGCCCGATTCTGTGTATTGAGCGTCTGTCCCCTGGTGGTCAGTGGGCGTCATAGCAACCGGTTGACCGGTCATTTGGTTCCTTAGGCTTTTATATATAGAGATAACAGGAAAAAAAGAGCCCTAACCAGTTTGGCTAAGTGGATAGAGCGTCGGCCTATGGACTCAAGGGTCCCAGGTTCGATTCCGGTCAAGGGCACCAAAAAAAACAGGAAAAAAAGAGGCATGAAATATAAACACAAAATGTTGGCATTATATCTGAGGAAAAATAGGTTCATAGGTGAATTTCATTTCTCCCATATACATATTTTCCAAAATTTCTAAAATGAATATAATTTTACTCCATGTAGCATATTTAAAACACATAGTATTTTTCCTTAGGAAAGCTCTCTTTGCCTATAATTTAGAAGAAGGGTGTCAGGATGTAGAAAAACAATGGAATGCCTACAGAAAGAGGCAATAGGAATTGGGCAAACAGAATAAAAGGAAAGCATAAAGGTGATGCAAACAAAGTTTCAACTAATTAAAATTTTTTCTTAAGACTGACCTAACAACTTCCTTCAACTCTTCTTCGACTGTCCTTATATCAGAACTAAGTACGTCATCTATTTATTGGTTCAAGAGGCTTTTAAAACTGACCTAAAGATTATAATGTTTTCTATTTTAAAAATGTATTCTGAACTATAATAAGCACCTCTCTTATTAATGAGCTTTATAAACCCAAGGGTTCCCAGGGTAGGAATTCCCTATATCCTAGGCAACATTGATTTTATAATTCTCTAAAATACTGAAAGTACAGTTTCATAGCTTATACATTTCACTTGCAGGTACCTACATTTTAGTTGTTCAATTACACTATTCTATCCTCCGTGAGACTTGGCAGGTAAATATGGTCAGTTAACTATGGGTTCACTGCTACTACTGGAACAACACAAAATAAAATCTGCATAGTATCACACAAGTAGTAACCTAGAAGTGAATACCAAGTTTACTTCCATATAAAATTTTTATAAAAATGAAATAAAGTAACTTTTCTAACTGTACAATAAAGCCAGGATTAGACATCTTTAATCACAAAGGAGATTAAAGATTAAGCTGATGACAAAAATCACCTTACAAATGTCTAAACATAGAAAAATGCTTCAAACATGTTTACAATGTACTAAATCAAAATGCTTTCTCACACAACCAGGGTAAAAACCATTACCTCATTGCTGGGAGCCTCATGTTCAGGAATCACATCTCGATGCTGGTTTTGAGAAACTGATGCACTGACAGAAGATGATGTGCTTTTTGGAGAATGGAAGGCATTGATGAGATGACTCAAAGGAACTGTAACCTAGAAAATGATTTAAGTTGATATTTAGCGTGTACCACCACAAAATGAAATATTTCAAAGCATATATCCAAAATTTGATACTTCTCAACTTCTCCCCTACACCATCCTGTTCTAAGTCACCATCACGTATATGTAGATTTTTATAATAACCTCCTAACTGCTCTCCCTGTGTGTGCTCTAGCAAAACTAAAGTCAGATCCATCACACCTGCTCAAAACCCTCCAATGGCTTCTCTTCTCACTAAGATAAAAGCCAAAGTCATAAATACTATGATACACACAGCCCTCCTTGGGTCTCTACTACCTCTCTGAATTTATTCACTACTATGTTCCCCCCACGCCCCTTCATTCTCTCTGCTCCAGCCCCACTGGGCTCCTTGCTGTTCCCGAAACACACCTGGCAGGTTCTCACTTCAAGGTCTGCACATTATTTATTCCCTCTTGTCAGTTAGTAACATAGCTTGCCCTTATACACTCTTGAGTTCTTAACTCAAAAGTTCATCAACGGATCCTGAGTGTACCACTCTCCTGCACTGTGAATCTCTGCAATGAATTTCACTGTAAAGTTTTCAGAGCTCAAACTCCAGGCCAAACCAGAGGCTAGGAGGCTATGCTTGCAAGTTCCCACTTTCTAATCACTAGGTCTTACTGATGACCAGCCCAACCCTGATGCTATCTAGTATATAAGCTATTTATTGGTTAAAGAGGCTTCAGAAAATCTGAAGTCACTTTATTGACAGAAATCACCTTATTCACTTTATTAGCATATATCACTTTATTAGCATAAATCCAGGAGTGATCCAAAAGGACTTCTTATAAATAATTACACTCCTATAGCTCACAAAATTCCAAAGTTTTTTTTGCCCTGACTAGGTAGCTCAGTTGGCTAACCATCATCCAGATACACCAAGATTGCGGATTCAATCCCAGGTCATACAGGGCACATAAAAAAATCAACAAGTGAATGCATAAATAAGTGGTATAACAAAATCAATGTTTCTCTCTCTCTCTAAAATCAAAAAGTAAAAATTCAAGAAGAAAAAAAAGAAAGGAATTCCAAGGGATTTAGAAACTCTGCTAAAAATGGGGAACACAAACGAAATCTTTATTCTTTATTATACCACACTAAAATATAAATTCCATGTGGCAAGGGATTTTTTTCCTTATATTACCTTATTTTTCTCTATTTTATTTATATAATTAATATAAAACGTTTCATAAATTACATTTTGTTTTTCTTTATTTTATTCATAACTTACATATTTTATTTTTATGTTATTCAATACCACAGCTCAGTGCAGCAACAATGCACAAAGTAGATGATAGATAAATATTTGTTGAGTAAATGAATTAAATAGGTTCTTCCTATGCCAGGTTTTGTACTATGTGCTTTACTTATATTATCATTTAATCTTCATTTAACAGCCATAAATTTGTTACTATTACACTTCCTACTTAATTAAAACAGCAAAAATTTAGATAGGTTCAGTGGCATGTTCAAAGTCACACAGCTAGTAAGTACAGGAGCAAGAATTCTAACACAGACCATCTGAATCCAGGTTCCAAGTAAAGACTTTTCACTTCAGTTATTGATACAAAAATAAATTTATTATGTTAATTGAAACAGGCTGTAAAACTATCTATAAATCTGTTCTTAACTATGCGAACATATATTTGTGTAGAGATAAAAAAAAATATAGAAGAATTTATTTTAAAAAGTGATCTCTCTGAATAGGAGATTACAGGTCATCTTGATTTCATTATTTATATTTTTCTTTTCAGCATTTTTGGCAATGAGCTGTATTATTTTTAGAACCAGAGTGAAACAGTAAGTTCTTTTAAAACTAGGGGAATAGCCCTGGCTGATGTGACTTCCATGGTTAGAGTGCCAGCCCGAGCACCAAAGGGTTGTGGGTGGGCCTGAAAGTTGGTTGGGGCTGGGTAAATAGTGTTATCCAGACTGATGGAGACTCAAATATGGTACCCATCTGCCAGCTGGGGGATGTGGGGGGGGGGGGGGGGGCAGGTGAGGGCTCAGCCAAAGAACAATATGCCAGAGTGAGCAATAAAAAATGTAAATCTGATCATGTTACTCCCTGCTTAAAAGCATTCAATGGTTTTCAACACAAATGAAAACTAAAGTCCCTTATTATAACTCCCTATATGGTCTGTTTCAAGGCTTCTCCCCAACCTCATTTCTGTCATTGTGCCTCTTAATCACCAGACTCTAGCTACACTGTTCTTATTTTTGTTTCTCCAGTCTGCTAAGTTCTTTCCCATATCGGGACCTCCAGATGTCCTTCCATCCTTTTGAGATACCATTCATTCTTTTTTTTAATATATATATACATATATGTTTTTATTGATTTTAGAGTGAGAGGAAGGGAGAGGGCTAGAGAGAGTGAAACACCTATCTGCTGCCTCCTGTACTCCCCCTACTGGAGATGAAGCGGGAAACCCAGGCATGTGTCCTGGCCAGGAATCCAACCTGAGACCACCTCTGGGTGCACCAGCCAGGGCTCCATTCATTCTTCACTTGACTGACTTCTACTCATCTTCTACTTCATATCAGCATCAAGATTCCACATTTTCTTTCTTTACCTGGCACATTACTGACACCCAGTAAATAATCACTTCTATTTTCTATTATCCAGCAAAACAACAAAAAACCCAAGGGTGTTTGAGTTACACAATTATATGTTTTTTTGTCTTTTTAAATATTTTTTATTGATTTTTGAGAGAGAAGAAGGGAGAGGGAGGAAAGGAGGGAGGAGAGAGAGAGAGATAGAGATAGAGAGAAAGAAAGAGAAACATCATGTGAAATAGAAACGTGATTGTAGTGGTACACACTCCAAGCGGGATCAAACAGCAACTCAGGTATGTGCCCTGACCAGGAACCAAACCATAACCTTTCAGTGCACTGGATGACACAACACAGGGCATAATTATGTTTAAACCAAGAAACTAAAGAGCATTCAAAAAAACATTTTAACATCTGAATGTTTTCAAAACCCATTTGCAAAACTTTAAGAACTCTCAAGAAAAAATAAAAAACCTTCAATATGACACAGAGAAAAGACCATGTGAAAAACATGTGAAGATACATGGCCAACAAAAAGCCAAGGGGAAAATGTTATCATCAAAAGAGATTTTTAAATGAACCCAGAACAAAACTTTGTGACAAGTGTTTAGTGCTTACGAGGAGATAATTGAAAACTCTTGGAATCATTTTTCTCTGCCCCATCTTTTGCTTTAAGAAAAGATGGGGAAGAAGCTGAATCAAAACGTTAACTGCAGGCAGTCAATAACTTGAAAATATCTGACATTTCTGGTCCAATAAAAAAGAAAGAAAGAGCTTTCGTGGCAGATTATCCAAATTATTACAGCACGTTTCGGGGCAATTCCATTTAAAGGGAAAGAGAATAGGGGATCGGAGGCAGGAAAATGGGAAGCAACTATTTACTTGCTTCCTTCACATCGATGGCAAGGAGGTCTCCTGTCCTCCCCCTATGGCGTCGATGGCAAGGAGGTCCCCCCACCCAACCTCTACCCCCGAATGTCCGGCACTAAACAATGCCTGATGGATTCCCCAACAAAAATTCCACGCAGTCAACTCGACAAGCCAAGATCCCCATCACGCTTATGTCACGGCCCTGCTTCACCGTCAGCCCTTTACTCTGAGCGATGCCCCTCATCCATTCTCGCCCCCAGAACTCATGTTGGTCTAATCGCTTCCCTCCAACGATCCCTTAGGTAGGAGAAACTGCTTCTAAGAAAAGCAAATGGCAAACAGACGCGGGCGGAGGGGGGCTGGGGGATGGGCTGGATGCCGGGACTCACCTGGGGCTGCACCGTGCTCGACAGGGAAAACATCGCCTTCGGGCCCTCAGCGACCTCAGCAGCCGGCTGAAACCGCCCGTCCGTCCACGCAAGGAAGGGGCGCAGCCCTTTTTCACCCTCCCCTTACCCGCACTCTCCCAAAGAACGGAAAATGGCCTCCCCTCCCTACAGCTGCGGCACCGATCACCTGCCCCGGAAGCAAAGCTCTAACGCAACAGTACTTCCGGGGCAGGGGAGCACCGCCCCCGCCAGGCCTGTGGCAGCCTTCCGCCTCCCAGTGGCGTCTCTGCCGGTGCTGCTGGCCCCCGAAAGCAGTTGATGATCATGTGGAATAGTACATTGGCTAACCCCGAAAGCTTCTTTGGCTGTATTTTCCTGTTTCTGAGGGACCGGCATGCACCCCGTTAAACCTTTCTGCAGCTTTTTTATGCAATGCATTGTGTCCCGACTGGAACAGAACGAGCTGTAAGGTCTTTTGTTACAAGTTTTTTTGTTGTTGTTTTTTGTTTTTCTTTCCAAGAGGTAACAGATGCTGTGCAATCCATGATCAATGGGTGACCCCCTGTGCCAGGCCTCCTCGGGGCACAGGTAGGCTCTGAGGGCAGGTGGTGTGGTCAAGCTCCATCTGAGAAGCCCCGGCCCAGATGAGGGGACCACCTGATGCAGACCCCGCCCCCCTCTCTGACCACAGGGAAATCCAAGCCCAAGTGCAAGGATGCCAGTCGCCCCAGAACCTGCCGTCTGAAGACGCCCAGGTCCCCAAGGGCTCAGGGCCCGATTCCTGGAACTGGCCACACCCACGGGTGAAGCCGTGGAGGGCGTCTCTGTAACAAGTTTTTTTTATGTCTTCACAATAAGTAGAAAATTCTGACTCTTGATCCTAATCTGTTTCAATCAGGCACGTTACATCCGGTTAAAATGTCAGATTACACCACCCGATTCCTGCTCTTCCAGTTTCTCGACGTCTACGATTTCACTAGCCACCATTTTCCAGAACAAACCCAACCGGTTTACATTTCAGGGGGGAGCAGGGGGAACCGGGGAAGGTCGCGAAGGAGTTTTTTTTAAAATGCAGGAAGTCGGGATCCCAACAGCCTCCTCTGAAGATCGAGAGTTAACTCTTCAAACCCCGCGATTCCGCTTCAGGGACCCGCTGTCCCTTTCCGTGTTTGCAGCACCGCCTTCCCACCCACTCTGATTACAAATAAAGTGGGCCGTGGCCACTGCCCCGGAGTCGCGTGTGGTTGGTTGGAGAAATTCCCAGCGTCCCCGCCCTCACGCCCATTGGATCCTGCGGCGTCTACAAAGGGGAAATGACTGAGATGGGGCTGCGCGGGGCTGGACCAGGCGAGCGCGGCGGCGTGGTGACGTCACGGCTGCGGGCGGCGTGGGCGGGGCCTTACTTTGAACCCAGTTGGCGGGAGCGGCGGCTGGGACCGGGGCTCTGGCGGCGGCTGCAGGCTTCAGTCTGGGCTGGCCCGCAATGGAGTCCACCGCGGGGAGCGAGAAGGAGAGCGGAGGAGGTGCAGCCACAGGGAAATGCGTGAATAGTATCTCGGTGCCAAGACCTCCCTCCATCGAGGAGTTCACCATAGTAAAGCCCATTAGCCGGGGCGCCTTTGGGAAGGTGTATCTGGGACAGAAAGGCGGCAAGTTGTATGCAGTCAAGGTAAGAAGCCCTTATTTCTGCCCCCTGGATGAGGCAGGCCCCGGGGGCGCTGCAGCAACTAGATTGGGTGGCCCGGTTTGCTGGCGCCTGCACGGACCGCGGCGGCTGACTTCTCACCAGGGTGACATCAGCAGGGCAAGTTGGTTGTCTCAACTCTGCCCCACCCTTCCCTTCTCGCCGCGATTGCTTAGGAGACACCAGAACTTCTGAATCCTTTATACCAGCGGTTCTCAACCTGTGGGTCGCGACCCCTTTGGGGGTCGCCTAAGACCATCGGAAAACACATATATAATTACATATTGTTTTTGTGATTAATCACTATGCTTTAATTATGTTCAACTTGTAACAATGAAAATACATCCTGCATATCAGATATTTACATTACGATTCATAACAATAGCAAAATTATAGTTATGAAGTAGCAATGAAAATAATTTTATGGTTGGGGGTCACCACAACATGAGGAACTGTATTAAAGGGTCGCGGCATTAGGAAGGTTGAGAACCACTGCTTTATACTGATTTGGCCTTTACAAGGATTAAGTTTGAAACTTTAAATGTGAAAGTTATTTTCCAAATTATGTTTTGATTCTATCCATTTGATATAGATTAATGTTTGACCTGCTATATAGCGAGAAGATGTCATTAAACAACCTCATTTTTTAACATTAAACCTTCCATTTTAAGTCTAGAATGTATTTTTATTTAAAGACTAAACTGAAATATGTCCTAAATCAGCCTTTTATCCTTGCAGCGGTATATAGCCTTCCAAAAGCATTCAAGAGCTTTCATTGTGTTTGAAGTTGTTCCGGTCATTCTTGCTTGTCCAGTCTCATAGTTTCAGATGACTCACATTTCAGCAGTCAGTGTCCATGATAAAGGGAAGGGGAGAGCCGTCTGACCAGCAGGAGAAAGTTTCAACTTTCTGTTGGACATTGCTATATAAATGTCTATCAGGCATCTCCCTGTTGTACTTGCCTAACCTTGACCACTCCTCTCCACTAACTGCCTGAACTCTGAACCTCCTGTATTCCCTCTCCATTTAATACCAACCACCACCATTATCCCTGTCATAACCTTGTGTCATTTAACTTTCCTCTATTTCAACTGTGTATCCTGTCTTCTCAAGAAGTCTTGTCAATTTTTGTCTAACATTCTTATTACCCCTTCCATTCCAATTCCCAAGTCTGCCCTTCATTCTGTCTTCCTCCTTTAATTCATTCTCTTTCTTTATTCCTTCCTTCTTAAAGTAGAATTTGGCTTTTAAGTAAATTAAAGATTGGGTAACCATCACCGCAATGCAATTTTAGAACATTTCTATCACCCCAAAAAGCTCTCTCCGGCCCATCTGCAGTGCCTCCACCTTTTACCCTCCTCCCAGGTAACCAACAATCTACTTTCTATCTTATAGGTTTGTCTTTTCTAGACATTGCATATAAGTAGAATCATACAATATACGGTCTTTGGTTTCTGTTCACTTGACATGATATTTTTTGAGTTTCAACAGGCCTTCATTTCCATACCTAGTCTACTAGAATAGCCCGCTAACTGGAATAACTTTTTTTTTTTTCATCTGTTCCTTAGGCCGTGGCATACAAGCTAAAATCCGCACCCCTTAGAAAAGCATTCATTTTAAAAAAGAAAGAAAGAAAAGAAAAAACATTTCTGCTTCATTCTGGCTCTAAACTTCCACCTGTATCTTCCTCATATCCTGTGTTCTAGCCACTGCAGACAATTGACTAGTCCCTGAATTTTGCATTTTGTCTTCCTTCTGAGCTTATCTTTATTCTGGTCCCTCCGTAAGTGCTCTTCTTTTACCCTTCTCTGCTCTTCGCCACCTATGTTATTTATGTATTAAGGTTTATCTTAGCCTCCCCTTCAAACCTTCCCTGACCTTTCAGATCCATCCCATTAAAATGAACTCTTCCTTGCTTCCTATGTTCCCAAGATGCTTTGCTTTTCCTTCTACTGTACTTTCTAAACAATCATTATCCGTTGTTGAAATGAAAACCAATGAAGCCAATTCATTTTTCAGTATTTATTGAGCATCTCTTCATTTGTAAGATCTGGGCTACAGTGGTGATCAAAACAAACCTGCATTCATGGAATTTCCAATCTAATGGAATGATAGGTTACAAACTGGCTTTGTCAGTTTCCCATAGTTTTCTTATGGTAAGGATCTAAGGTTGGAATTGACAGTGTACTCATGATTTTATTAAATACCTCATCTTCTTTTCCTTGAGATAGTCCTGAAACTTGATCTCAATGTTACTATTTAGTTAGCGCTCTGCATTTAACGTAGATTATAGTTTTGTCTCTCTACTAGTTACCTTGATACTTGAAAAAAGTAGTGTTTGTTGTTGTTGTTTTTTTTTTGGTAAGGCAGCATTTGAAACTAAGTTTCAGTAGTTGTAACCATTATTAAGATTTTATTTTCTAGGCAAACTTCCTACATTCTTTCTCTTTCTGATTCTATTTCCATCCATCAAAGAATCAGAAAGTAAAAAATATATACACATACTTTTGAATAATTATAAAGGCAGTGTTTATTAAGATACATTTTATTTTCAAAATTGAGCTCTTAGCTGTTAAAGTGTGTATACATTTTTGGGGGGGCGGGGGGAGACACCCTGTAATAAGGTAAGTTACTATTTCTCTGTGCCTAGGTTCCTGGTTATCTGGGAGCTATTAGGAACATTACTACCTTTTGATTTTGTTGTAAGAAGAGCAGACCTACCTTGAGCTAGTGCACAGACCCTGTCGGAGCCCAGTGCAGAGGGTCAGGGTGATTACTTCTTCGCCAACATGCTGGGATGTCGCTCTTCCTGCTTGTGGTTCTCTATCACTACGTGGCCGAGGCCGTCAACAATTCCAAGAAGCTGCCGAAACCGGTTTGGCTCAATGGATAGAGCGTCGGCCTGCGGACTGAAAGGTCCCAGGTTCGATTCCGGTCAAGGGCATGTACCTGGGTTGCGGGCACATCCCCAGTAGGAGGTGTGCAGGAGGCAGCTGATCGATGTTTCTCTCTCATCGATGTTTCTAACTCTCTCTATCTCTCTCCCTTCCTCTCTGTAGAAAATCAATAAAATATATTTTAAAAAAAAAAAACAATTCCAAGAAGCAGAATGAAAGTGGCGCCTTCTCCGCCCCAGGGTTCCAGGACATGGTCTGAGGCAAGATGGACGGTGTGAGGGGCCTTCACACTTCACTTCATCCCTTCTACCCATCACAGCATATAAAGCAATTACACCTGGATTTTTCCAAACAACTTTTATTTCCTCAAAGTCTTCCTTAACCCTATGGAACAAGAAGCTGCCACTGAGTAGAGGCTGCTTTCTTTTCTCCTCCCTTCCCCTAATATAAAAATATAGATTTTTTTTGCGATCAAAAAAAAAAAAAAAAAAGAGCAGAACATGCCCTCGCCAGTGTGACTCCCTGGTTAGAGCGTCAGCCACACACCAAAGGTTCAATTCCTGGTCAAGGGCACATACCTGGGTTGCAAGTTCTGTCCCCGG